CAGCAGGGATCCCTGTGGAACACCATACTCAATGGGGAGGCTTGGTGACAAGTCCTGTCCAAATTGTACTCGTTGTGTACGAGATCCTAGGTAGTTCTGGAACCATGTGAGACTTTTCCCTCTGACACCATAGTGCTCTAACTTCTGTAACAAACAGTTATGGTCAACTAGGTCGAAAGCCTTCTTTAAGTCAATGAAGACGGAGCCAGTCATTTGTTGATTATCCATGTGTTCCAAGATCTGATCAGTGAGATAAGTCACAGCAGTTTCGGTAGAATGTCCTTTTCGGAATCCAGATTGGTACGCTGACAGAACTTCGTTTGCTTCAAGAAATTTCACAAGCTGTACTTGGATTGCACGCTCCATAACCTTGGAGACTAGGGGCAACACGGATATAGGCCTATAGTTACTTTCTTCGGTTCTTTTACCGTTCTTGAATATAGGCGTAACTTTCGCTTCTTTAAGTTCAGGTGGAATTTCGCCAGTTGAAATAGTCAGATTAATAATATAAGTAATGGGTTTGGCTATCACAGAAGCTGCATCCTTTAAAAGTCTTGCAGACATTCCATCTAGACCAGTGGCTTTCTTTGATTTAAGTCTCTTCAGTTCATTACAGACAAACATTTCGTTCACTTCTTCCATAGAAAATTTGTTATTTACTCTTGGTGTTAGTGGCTTTATGTAAGTGCTTAGTTGAAATCGTTCACACAGTTTTTCGGCGATGGAAGTGAAGAAGTGATTGAACTTTAATGCAGACAAACTGCCGGTTTTTGGCACACCGGCATTTTTCTTATTTGGCATGATTTCTTTCAGGATTTCCCACATTGCTTTTGGGTCTTGGGTTTCTGTTAAGCGAGAAGAATAATAATCCGATTTTGCTTTCTTCATTTTCTTGCTAACGGTGTTTCATAAGCGCTTGTATTTGCTCCAGTGCAGTTCTTGATTTGTTTTGATCGCTTTTTTATGATGGTAATCCCTTTCTGTCATTACTTCTTTTATACTTGATGTTAGCCATGGAACTGAAAACCCGCGAACTCTTCGCGTGGCAACAGGCGCATGTTTGTCAGCAACTGTCAAAAAAAGATCTTTGAAAACAATCCAAGCTTCATTTGACGTTGATTCCATTTCGAGAATATCCCATGGGATCTTATTCAAATCGTCACTAAAGAATGCAGGATCATAATTTTTATAATTTCTGCTCTGAATAATTTTAGGCGGAGGGCGCTTGATGTTGTGGAGTTTTCTGACTCCGAAAATAGCACAGTGATCAGAGAAGCCGATTGGAATAACACCGCAGGTGTACAGTTCTGGTCTTGATGTTAGAAATAGGTCAATTAAAGTTCTAGTCTCCTCAGTGATTCGAGTGGGCTCGGTGATTGTTTGTTTCAGATGAAAAGATTTTGTTGTTTGCTGAAAATGCTTTGTCACAGAAGTCGGGTTCAAATAATTCAGGTTGAAGTCTCCAATAAGAACAATTTCACCATCATTTGTCAGAACGTTGTTTAGAATTTCTTCGACCCGGCTAGTAAAAGCCACTGGGTCAGCATCTGGTGTTTTGTAGATTGCTCCGCATAAAATCTTCTTCGATTTTGGCTGGCATACTTCAAACCAAATTGATTCAAAGTTGTCGTTCTGTGTTTGGATTTCACTTTCGTCAAGCTGACTGTAATTTAGTTGCTCTGCTATGTATACCGCAACGCCACCACCATTTTCGTCTCTGTCTTTTCGCATAACATTGTAGCCAGGAAGAGTTATTTCCGCAATTTCATCAAGCCAAGTCTCGTTTATTGTCACGATGTGTGGTTTGTGCTCGTCGCAGAAAAGTCTGAGTTCGTCCATTTTATTGCGTAGGCTGCAAATGTTGAGATGAAATAAGCGAAGACCTTTCATCAAGGATGGCGAGGGCTGTGTTGGTCCAGGATTTAGTGAAACGTCGTTAGACAGGAGAATTAGGTTTGCAGCTAGTGCCATATTCAATAATTTCATCGCATTGATAAGTTTGACACTTCCCGTTGTTTGCGAACGAGCCTTCCTGCTGACTTGCTTATCGCCAAGTGGTTTCACTGCTTTGATGTTTACTGTTTTCACAGTCTTTGCTGCCGTCAGTTTAGATAAACTTTCATCTCTGGATCGTTTCTGTGGACATTCGGCCAGTTTACAGACTATCAAACTAACCAAAAAATACACTACAATGGAGCAAACAGCGGAACGTAAACGTAAACGCAGAGCAGCCGCCATGACCGCAGGAAGCTCAACCTGAGATGAGTATTTTTCTTTGCTGATTAGAGGCCAGATACTAGTCTTCTCAAGCACTGATCTATTAGAAAAATAATGTGATTGATACGCTTTTCAGTTTTAACTCTTTTCCGTAGTATTTTATTCCCTCATAACACAATTCCTAAAAGCCTAGCTTGTTCCAGATGTTCAGTTAGTCAAACTGACTACAACAAAAGTTTGAACTCGAACTTTTCAACAAAAGTTGAACTCAAATCAAAGTAAATGATTATTTAAGAAAATTATTTGCACAAGTTGTTGAATAAATATACTTTTATTTTGTATTTCAATCTGGGTGCTTGTCCTGATAAAATGTTATACAATCAGACATATATATAATAAAAAAGTAAATAAATTTCTTTACTTGCCCATAACACATTATATCTTTGATTATATAAAACATGGGCATTCTCCATTTTATACTAATTTTATGTGATTACAACTTTATCCACATGTCCATAATATAACTTACAACTTGAATCATGCTTAAATTCTCCATTTTATACATTCATGGACTTAAATTTATAGACACAGTAGGGATAGAACATGATCTTTGTTCCAAAAGGAACACTTCCAAGTCCAATTTCCTCTTTTTTAGCTTAAGATTTTCCTGCTTTAAAATTAATGCTTTGTACTGGGCCTCAACAACGTCGTCTTGTGTTGTCTTTCTTTTACTCTTTTTTTTATGATGATTTTCTTCTTTTGGTGTATTGACCACTTCATCATCGATTTTGTGGGTGTTGGCTTCATCTTGCTGCACAGCTTCTTGGAGTTCTTTAAACAGGTCTTCATTCACCTCAATTGTTTCCAAATGAGCAGCTACTTCCGTAGGCTGGTTTGCTTCAGGGCCTTAAAAAAACATCCCCACATATTACGGTCAAAAAAAGTGACCTCTTGTTTAAAATTACTTGTCATCAGTTCAAAGGTTCAAAGTAAATCATGACCGAAATGACTGATCTAAATTCACTGAAAGTACTGGCTGTTCAGTTCAAGACAGGTCTCTTTCTAGGAAGCTTTGAGGGAGTCTTGAAGAAATGGTAAGTCTAAAAGCTTTTACTCAAAGCTTCTGCAGTTTTAGGAATATTTGTTATTTTTGTGCTCGCCGTGGGTTGCGTGACAAATAGTGTAACAAATATGATAATCAAAGCTAATAAAGAAAGTGACTTCTGAAGCTGTCGTTCATGTAGCGGAAATTATGAACCGAAAATTTGTCTTGTTTCCTGTAAACAATGAAATAACTTATGCATTCTTAAGGTAATAAGAAGTTCAAGTTTTAAACAACAGTGGATGTTAATTCTCACCTTTCGACTTGAAACCCTAGAGGCCGGTGAATGATGGGGTTTCTTTGAAAAGGTCAATGATTTTAGCAGTTGCCGCCAACGGCATCTTCAGAGCTTCACCTCCTCCAGTTTTTTTCTGCTCTTTGGCCAGTTCTGTGAACTCTTTTTTGGCCTGTGCGTGTAGATTTTTCCATTTTTCTCTGACCTCGGTAGTCGTCCTCCGAGCAACTCCTACGGCGTTGACAGCATCCGCGATTTTACACCATATTTGTTTTTTTTTTTGATTTGTGACGCTGTTCATAAGTTTACTTTGTATAATGGAAAGGTTTTCCTCTACTTTTTCCGTTAAGATGGCTATTTCGGACACGCTGAAATTTTGTTTACGGGCTTTGCGTGAGACCGCAGGGGAAGCCACTCTTCAGCTCGCAACTTGCTCACCATTGCAACAATTTACAAAAAGAATATTATGGGTTGCTAACCTCAGGTTAGCCGCGTCTAACATGAGGTTAACTAACTGGCTCTTTAACCGCGCTTTGAGAAACGCTATTTTAACCCTGTGTTAAGAAACCTGCGGTTAAAAATTTAACCTGCGGTTAGCCCTAACCTCAGGTTTAGTTTAACCCTCTTTTGAACAACCGGGCCCAGGGCTTTAAGAGGCTGTGACTGTAAATAACGAGAATCGTTGGCCAGGCTAAAAAAAATCGAAAATTCTGATAATTTGCCTGGAAAACCCTTTTAGGGAGATACATTCAAAAAAATTATTATTTAAAGTTTGAAAAATCAAATGTGTCCGAGGAAATGGGGAAAAACTAAAATTCGGGTTTTTACCTAATTAATTGTGCAAAAAATACAGTAAAATTGACCAACTTTAGTGTGCGAGTACTGAAGGAGGATGTTTGGTTAGAAATTGGGGGTGTTTTTACTTCAAAGTATAATTCATTTGATTTTTATTTGTGGCATTTTAAGGAGCTTTGGTTTAATTTTAAAATTCACATGATTTTTTAACAAAGTGCACATGTCTCTTAGACACTATCAGGGTAGTGAGGCAGTCAAGCATTATCGAAGCCACGGTCACACTGTCTTGGGCACAGCTTTGAAATACGTGAACAGGTGTCTGCGATTCAAAGTGCTCATCTCAGCTTCTTTGCTGAAGACGGCTGAAGGAGCCACTAATCTGCTGCAACGTAAGGACTTCATCAGGTTGAAATCGACGTCCCCCCGCTTGGTCTCTTGCTAGGCTCATGGTTTTCGAAACTTCCTGTGGATCGCTTTTCCGTCCACTATACTTCCCTTTTTGAAGTTGGTCAGTTAAGAATTCAGTCTGTTTCCTTGTAAAACGCACCTTTTTCTTAATTGTCTTCAGGGCCCAACCCATTGGAGGCGGCAAGCCGTCACTCTTTGATTGTGCGGCAACTTGAACGCTTGGTATTCGACTGCGTCCCTCCG